AGTGCCGGGCAAACCTCCAGTGGCCAGGCAGTGGCACTGTCCCCTCTCTGCGCTCTCCCAATACACGGAGCCACAAAACAGTGTGGTGGGTGGCCCCACCCTGGCAATTACTGAAGGCTCCACCCCGCACAATTTATAGGTGCCTTTTCCATAATAGGCCATGCTGCTAAGACAGGGAGTCAAAGCAGCTCTACCTAATACACAGAGACAAAACAAATATGGCCCAAATGAAAGAACAGAACAAAACCCCAGAAAAAGAACCAAACGAAATGGAGACAACCAACCTATCAGATGCAGAGTTCAAAACACTGGTGATCAGGATGCTCACAGAACTCATTGAGTACGGCAATAAAATAAAAAAGACCCAGGAACAAATAAAGATTACGGTAAGTGAAATAAAGAAAAATCTACAGGGAACCAACAGTGCAGGGGATGAAACTGGGATTCAAGTCAACGATTTAGAACATAAGGAAGAAATAAGCATTCAACCGGAACAGCAAAAAGAAAAACAAATTCAAAAAAATGAGAATAGTATAAGGTGCCTCTGAGACATCTCCAAACGTACCAACATCTGAATCACAGGGGAGCCAGAAGGAGAAGAGGAAGAGCAAGAAATTGAACACTTATTTGAAAAAAATAACGAAAGCAAACTTCCCTAATTTGGTGAAAGAAATAGACATACAAGTCTAAGAAGCACAGAGAGTCCCAAACTAGTTGGACCCAAAGAGGACCACACCAAGACACATCATAATTAAAATGCTAAAGGTTAAAGATAAAGAGAGAATCTTAAACGCAGCAAGAGAAAAGCAGGGAGTTACCTACAAAGGAGTTCCCATGAGACTGTCAGCTGATTTCTCAAAAGAAACTTTGCCGGCAGTAAGGGACTGGCAAGAAGTATTCAAAATGATGAGAAACAAGGACCTACCTAGATTACTCTATCCAGCAAAGCTGTCATTTAGAATGGAAGGGCAGATAAAGTGCTTTCCAAACAAGGTAAAGCTAAAGGAGTTCATCATCAAGCCACTATTACATTAAATGTTAAAGGGACTTATTTAAGAAAAAGAGTAAGATCAAAATTATGAACATTAAAATGGCAACAAATCCACAACTATCAACAACTGAATCTAAAAAAAGCAAACAAACTAAGCAAACAAGCAGAACAGAAACAGAATCATAGATATGGAGGTCACATGGAGGGTTATCAGCTGGGAGGGAGAAGGAGGAGAATAGGGGAAAAGGCGCAAGGATTAAGAACAACTATCCCTGGCTGGTGTAGCTCAGTGGATTGAGCACCAGTCTGTGAACCAAAAGGTCACTGGTTTGATTCCCAGTCAGGGTACATATCCGGGTTATGGGTTGGATCCCCAGTTGGGGGCGTGTGAGGTAACCACACATTGATGTTTCTCTCCCTCTCTTTTTCCCTTTCTTCCCTTCTAAGAATAAACAAAATATTTTTTTAAAGAAGCATAATAGGTAGGCACAAAAATAGACAGGGGGATGTTAAGACTAGTATAGGAAACAGAGAAGCCAAAGAACTTATATGCACATCCCTTGGACATGAGGAGGCATTGCTGGAAGGAATGTGGGTACTAGGCAGAGGGGGGCAAAGGGGGAAAAATTGGGACAACTGTAATAGCATAATCAATAAAATATATTTTAAAAAAAGAATTATGTGGGCAATGAAAAGCCTAAGAAATATATACACCCAGATCTTTAAGTAGAGCATTCTTTACACATAACCCGTCGGATACTAACTCAATAATGGTGCGGCAACTTGGGAGCCGACTAGAAATTATTTCAAAATGAAATACTGATGGGCTCTGGGTAACAAATCAAGAGCATGAGTCCCCACTGCCAGTTTGTGATGAAGCAGCTAAGAAATCAATAAAACAGCTCACGCTGTTAATATATATATAGCTTTTCGCTTCAAAATGCCTACCGGCCTCGCTCAGAATCCCAGGGTTCCAATGAGCACAATACTAAAAAGCCCCCAGCCACCCTGCCAAAAACTGGGTGTAAACCCTGAGCACCCAGGGCCTCATCCAATCAGATTAGTACTTCCTCTCTGCAATGCTTACATTTCTGTCTGCTCATCATTTAAGCATCTCCAAAGAAGGAAGCATTCCCACTTGCAGGTGACCTCCTTAGCTTGTGCACGTCTGCTGACTGGCATGTCTCCGTTGTCCCCTAAACGATGCTGTCTGTGCTGCCGGGGAGATCAGAAGGAAGCTCTGCAGGGGCTGCCTCCCCAGCATTCCAATACTCGTTGTAACTGCTCAGATAGGAGCTCCTGAACCCAAGCAAGGCAGGGAGGGCATCAGGCATCATAACAGGTTCAAAGCCTCAGGAAGCCTGTTAGCATCTGGTTGGGTAGCGTGAGTGAACGAGAGCAGTGATCCTCTAAGTCTGTGGTCTGGCGAAGCAGCTTAACCTCGGAACTTAGTGAAAAAGCAAATGTTTTTAATTAAAAAAATTTATTTTATTGATTATGCTATTACAGTTGTCCCATTTTTTCTCCCCTTTCTCCCCCTCTGCCCCGCATCAGCATCCACCCTCCACCCCGAGTTCATGTCAACGGGTTGTACATATAAGTTCTTTGGCTTCTCCATTTCCTATGCTATTCATCTCCCCCTGCCTATTTTGTGTCTACCAATTATGCTTCTTATTCCCTGTACCTTTTCCCTCCTTCTTCCCTACCCACTCCTTGCTAATAACCCTCCATGTGATCTCCATTTCTGTGATTCTGTTCCTCTTCTAGCTGTTTGCTTAGTTTTTGTTTTTTAGTTTCAGTTATTGATCGTTGTAAGTTTGTTGTCATTTTAATGTTCATAGTTTTCATCGTTTTCTTAGATAAGTCCCTTTAACATTTCACATAATAAGGGCTTGGTGATGATGAACTCTTTAACTTTACCTTATCTGGGAAGCACTTTATCTGCCCTTCCATTCTAAATGATAGCTTTGCTGGACAGAGTAATCTTGGATGTAGGTACTTGCCTTTTATGACTTCCAATACTTCTTTCCAGCCCCTTCTTGCCTGGAAGTCTTCTGAGAAATCAGCTGACAGTCTTATGGGAACTCCTTTGTAGGTAACTCTTCTTTTCTCTTGCTGCATTTAAGATTCTCTCTTTATCTTTAACTTTTAGCATTTTAATTATGATGTGTCTTGGTGTGGTCCTCTTTGGGTCCACCTTGTTTGGGACTCTGAGGTTCCTGGACTTCCTGCAAGTCTATTTCCTACCTCAGATTGGGGAAGTTCTCCTTCATTACTTTTTCAAATAAGTGTTCAATTTCTTGCTCTTCCTCTTCTCCTTCTGGCACCCCTATGATTCGGATGTTGGAACGTTTAATGTTGTCCCAGAGGCTCCTAATCCTCTCTTTTTAAAATTCTTGTTTCTTCAGTCTGTTCTGGTTGAATGTTTATTTATTCCTTCTGTTCCAAATCGTTGAGTCCCAGTTTCGTGAAAATGCAAATTCTTGAAACTTCCTGCTGGGCGGGACCCGGCAACGCACGCTCTGACAAGACGCACAGTGCACTTTGAGGAGGACTGAACTAATTCGTGTGTTCACAAACAGAAACCACTAGATCCAGCCCAGCACTCTCCAGCAGAGCGGGAAGGGGCTCCCGATTTCCAAAGCCTGAGGAAACAGAGCAGAAAGGGCCCCCCGCTTCAGGGTACTGGGAGGACCAACCTTCCCTGGAGTGAGGGCTCCTCTGGCAACTAGCCAAGGGCTCACCCTGAATCTGCTCAATTGGTGCAGCTATACGAATGTCATCCCCAACAAACTCATGTGGGTTATGAGCACCCCACTTCTCTAGGACAAAGATTCATGTGATTTCCTTCCTTCCTCGATGCTCATGAAATCCTGAGTCCTGGGTTGCGGCCTTCCTGCACCAGCTACACGAATCTTTGAGATCCTCACCAAGCAACGTGCAGCATCATTTCACGTAATTCAGACAAACTAGATCATCCCTGGACCGGTGCTGCCCCAAAGAACTAGAGCTGTGAACGGAGACCACACTGCAGGTGTCAGTGCGGGGCGTGGCAAGGTACAGCAAGATGACCGAGCAGGAGGCCGGGGTGGAACTCCGCTGACTCAGAGCGGGCGCTCACGCAGGGAAACGCCTTTCCTCCCTAGCTTCACACTTAGGGCTTTTAGATCTTTGTGGCCGAGGGAAAAAAACTGCAGCTTTATCTCTCGAGTGTCTCTGCCCAGCCCAGGGAGATCCTGTAATATCGACGATGCCCACAGCAACTTTTGGGCACCAATTCCATAACTGGGGGTCAGCCACGTGTGAGAGAAAGTCTGCGGGAGGTGGCAGGAAGGTGTACATGTGCAGAAAAAGAGAGAGGAGGGTCGGAGGAAACAGGAAGAAGATTGGCGTGAGGCTGATGTGCTCTTCCCCCTGCACCCACCACTGAACGTGGCGGGCTCCTTCGAATCCCCTGTTCATATGCCCTGACAAGGTCAGAGCGGCAGCGACCATCGCTGTCTCCCCTCACATCTGTGGCTAATGAGAATCAGGCGAGAGTCAGACTGCAGAGAAGAAAATTACAGAAACAAGATATTTATTTTTCCTGAAAAAGACAGGGAAAGGAAACTGAGCCCAAGAGAAGGATATTCATAAGCAAAGCCTGTGCTTTTTGCCTTATCTTCTCTAAATAGGAAAGCCCCCTTGGCAAAAGAAAACTCATGCGAGGTAGACCTGCCTTTTGAGAGCAAGGTTTAATTCTGACCCAAGATTACAATAATTTTTTAAAGTCCTATGGATTCCACCATGCTGTGCAGGAATCACTCAGATTTTTTTCCCCTTAACTTCTCAAAAACCAAACTGGCTAACCATACCTGAATTGAGCTGAGGAAGTAAAATGCGTTTTTTTTTTTTGTTTTTTTTTTTTATCATTAACTACCACAGAAAAGCTTGCATCTCATGTTGCCTTTAGTAAAGTCCATCTGGCTTGCAGTAGCTGTATTATCCTGATTCCTCTTCCCCAGGTTCTGTGCTTGGTAATAGAAATATGCTGTGAAACGCTATCTCTTAAGACTTGCTTTTTTCTTTCTTTGACTTGGAAGCGCCTGGCCAGCGGAAGCCCCGCATGTGCAGGCAGTCGGCCACGTTGTGGGCGATGTAGTAGAGGTTCAGCATCGCCGCGGGGCTGAGGATGTCCGCTTCCGGTTTCTTCTGCTTCTTCACCGCAGACTTGTTCCGGCCTTTTCCTTTTTTCCTTTTACCTGGCTTTCAACGATAAATATATAAACAGGGCAAAAATTAGTTTTTATACCCTTGACTTAATTTTCAACATATCCCACTGAACTTAAGAGAAAATAAATACCTAAAAGGAAAAAAACTGTAACAACAAAAACTTTTGCATGGAGTGGGAGGAGAAGATACATGACACGTAATTGAACAAATGTCTACTGAGCACCCCTAGATGAAAAGAGACTCAACCTAATGCAATACGTGGACCTTGTTTGCATTCTGACTGGAATAAGTTGTAAAAAGATACTTTTTAGGCAATTGGGGAAACTGATAATATCAAGGAATTATTAATGTTATTAGATCTGATAATGGCATTGGGTTATGGAAAAAATGTTCACACATTTCAGAGAGGCACAGTAAAATCTGCTGGAATGACATTAAACAAGGCCTGAGATCTGCTTTAAAATTCTGCGGCTTCCACTACCCTCCCAAAAAAAGGACAGAGGAAGCAAATGTGGCAAAATCCTGACAAGTCTCTAAATCTGGGAAATGACTATATGGGGATCCATTTTACTATTCTATTTTTGTGTATACAGGGAAACTTTCATATTCAAAATTAAATGTAAAGCATTTGATAATCAGGATGCAAAGGTATACTTCGGCACGTGTAATGCGGTAGACTCTAGCTCACTGAGCAGCCACGAGGACTGGGACAGGAATGTACGGCACTCGGCAGGGTGTCTGACAGGGAGCAAGCACTCAGTACATGACTAGTGCAATCACTTTATCACAGCTCGTTCTCAGACACAGAGGCCTGGCTGCTGTAGGGAAATTCAAAGGAAAAGAAACAATCTGAAAGCCCATAAGAAAACTGAGTCTCCTGATAAAAAAAAAAAAACCAAACACTGTGGGGTCTGGAAGGCACACGCCCATAAGCTCTTAAAGATTTGGGGCTGTGGCTTTTTTAAATGACTTTATACTTTTTTTTTTGCATCTCAATCATACTTGAGATACCTGGAATAACTGCAAAGAAAAGTGTCTTGATCTCTAAAAAGGTTTGAGAACTAAAGTTCACACAACAGTTTGACATTAAAAAAAAAAGATCTTAATTGTTTTTTCAGAGAGAGAGGAGAAGGGAGGGAGAAAGAAGGAAGGAAACATCAATGTGTGAGAGAAACACAATCGGTTGCCTCTCACACGTCCCCACGTGGGAACCTGGCCTGCAACCCAGGTGTGTGCCCTGACCGGGAATGGAACTGGCGACATTTTGGTTCGCAGTCTGGTGCCCATCACTGAGCCACACCAGCCAGGGCGAAAAGTTTGACACTCAGAGTTTTCATCTTGGTGTAGAAGCTGGCAAACTGATTCTAAAATTCATATGGAAATTCAAAGGACTTTGAAAAAGAAGAACAAAGTTGAAGGACTCACCTATTTTATTTCAAGAATTTTTTTTTTTTTTTTTAAGAATTACCATAAAGCTACAGTATCTAGAGAATGGTTTAGTGTCAGGGCAGACAGATGGCTGGAACACAACACAGTCCAGAAGTAGATCCACCCATAGACGAACAACTGATTTTCAACAAAAGTGCCAAAGCAATTCAGTGAGGCAAGGGTAGCCTTTTTAATAAATGCAGATGGAATAATAAATATCCATTAGCAAAAAAAAAAAAATGAACCATACTGGCACCATATACAAAAGTTACCTCAAAATGACTCAGAGCTAAATATTAAACCAGAAACTAAAACACCTCTAGAAGAAAATATAGGAGAAAAGCTTTGTGACCTTGGGTTAGGCAAAGAGTTCTACGATACGACACTGAAAGCACACGCCATGAAAGAACAAGCTGATACACTCATCGTCAAAATTAAAAACTCGTGCTCATCACAAGATATTGTTAAGTAAATGAGATGCTAAGCCACAGATTGGGAGTAAATATCTGCAAATCATGTATCTGGTAAAGGCTTTACATCCAGAATAAAGGACCCTCAGAACATAAGAAAACAACCCAATACACAAAATGGTCAAAAGATTTGGACACTTACCCATAGAAGATATTCACTACCCTCCCAAAAAAAAGGACAGAGGAAGCACATGTGGCCAAATCCTGCTAAATACTTATTGGCTAAATACTAGCCAATAAGTATATGAAAAGAGACATCCCTCAAATCATTAGGGAAATGAAATTAAAGCCCCTATGAGACACCAGCACACATTTATTAGAACGGCTCAAGTTACAAAGACTGACTGTACCAGGTGTTGGTGATGACTCGGAGGGAATGGGACTTTTATATGCTGCTGGCGGAAATCTAAAACAGGGCCGCTTTGGAAAAACAATTTGGCGGTTTCTTTAAAAGGTTACCCACGTACCTAGCATATGATTCAGCCATTGCACTGCCAGGTACTTCCCAAGCGAAACGAAAGCATATGTCCACTCAAAGACTTGAACGTGAATGTTCCCAGCATATTTACTCGTAATAATTAAAAACTGGAAACAACCCAGAAGTCCATCAGTGGGTGAATGAATAAGCAAACTGGTATCACTACGCAAGGGAATACTACTCAGCAATAAAAAGGACTAACTACTGATACACGCTACAACATGGATGAATTTCAAAATAATTATATTAGTGAAAGAAGCCAGAAAAGGTTTTAGAAACCAAAAAAAAACCCCAACTGTTTAATTCCACATGTAATAGATATAATCCTAGAAATTATAAACTAACCTACAGAGAAAGGGAGCAGATCAGAGGTTGCTTGGGGCTGTGTACAGAGGGGAAAAGGACTGATCACAAAGGACCCCCAAGGATACTTTGGGGGTGATCAACATATTCTCTCTCTTTTAAAAATATTTTATTTCTTCATTTTTTAGAGAGGGGAAGGGAAGGAGAAAGAGAGGGAGGGAAACATCAACGTGTGGTTGCCTCTCACACACACCCCCACTGGGGACCTGGCCCACAGGCCAGGCACGTGCCCTAGAGTGGGAATCGAACCTGAGACCCTTTGGTTCACAGGCTGGCACTGAGTCCACTGAGCCACACCAGCCAGGGCTCGCTCGTTTTTTGAATCCTCACCCTCACCCAAGGACAAATTGATTGATTATTATTATTTATTTGTTTTTTTGAGAGAGAGAGAAGCATCGATCAGCTGCCTCCTATACGTGCCCAGCCTTTGGCGTACAGGACGACGCTCGGCCAACTGAGGGGTCCAGCCAGAGCCAACGTGTTATCTTGAGTGTGGTGATGGTTTAACGGCAGCGCACGGACACCAAACTCATCAAGCCGTACATTGTAAATATGTGCAATTTATTATACATCAATTATACCTCAATATATCTGTTAAGAATTATTGTACATGAGTGCAAATGTTCAGTTTCTGAGCTGGTTGGGCTGGTTCAATACAACTCTATGGCTCTTGGCTATTCCTGATCTCTAAACTCAGAGCTCCCCGCCTGAAACTCTCCAAGCCCCTTAGCGAAGACCACGTGGCGCCAGCCACACGGACCTTCCTTCCAGGGCCCAAATTCACCCGGTCCTCCCTGTCCCTGCCTCTTCCTGCAGACCTTCTAGGGGGCATAATTTGTTTCTTCCCTTTCTGCCGGCCTCTGCTCAAATATCAGCTCTTTAGAAAAACCTCCCAGACACTGCGACTATATTCTAGCTATAACTAGGGTGGCCATGCTCTTTATTGTTCAAACCAGGACACTTCAACAAACATAAATTGGGACTGTCCCTGACAAAGGGGGGAGAGGGACAGGTCTCCAAACAACCCTCCCAGCAATCTCACTTTTCTCCACATTCTTTGTTGTTTTTATTTAATGAAAAAAGGCACTTTCGAACGTCCATTAAACTTAGCTGAATACAAAGTCTTAGTGAAGAAGGCCTTGTGGCCTCATTTATAAGAACATGGCTACACTCCTCTGGCCTTAACATTTCAGGAAGGGCACTTCAAAGGGCTTTGTGTTTGCACGTTTCAGCACCAGAGCGCAAACGAACAGACCGTAGCGTCCACTGTCAGATGTGCTTCAGCTACCAGCGCCCCAAGTGTCTTCATCAGGTCATTCTTGGGTAAGGAAATTACTTCCACAATTTCTCTGTCACGATGTGTGCGCTACAGTTTGACAAACCTGGATTCACACAGGCAGCTGGGGAACATTCAGCAACATCACCTTTTTGGCCGGTTTCTTACTCCAGTCTTGCAGAGCAGCTGCTTCTGGGCTTCCTTATCACCTATGAGACCTGGGGAAATTCTAGGCAGTAGCCTCCCATGGGCGATGGCAACTGTTTCACCAGAAGGATACATTCATAATGCAGAGTTACCTGCAGCACTGGGATAATGTCACACCATCAGCAGACCATCCTTTCCTCCTTGTACCTTTCACAGTTTCCAAAGCTCTTGTTTTCCCAGTAGGATCCATGTAGGTTGTTTTTTCAAACTTGGCCCATTCTCCTTCTGCCATTAACGCCTCTGAAATAATAAACTTTGGTTTCTCGAGAAGAATCTGCTGGTTTTTGGTTTTTCATTTTCAAACTAGTTAGTATTTGCGGTCCTTAGGCAAGAAGTTCACACCTTGCAGGTGGTGCGGGTCCAGGAGAGAAAGCAAAGGCATGTGGTTCTTAAAGTCTCCTTCTCAACACTTCGGAATTTCATTCCCAAGACCTGAGCTGTGCCCGGGGGCAGGGGGGGGCGGTGTGTGTGTGTGTGTGTGTGTGTGAGCATGCACGCGCGCACGCGCGTGTGTGTGTCTATTTTCACTTTCTATCTCCTTACCCTAAGCACACTTCAGTTAGTATTTGTGTGTTTGTTTGTGTATGAATTGTATGTTCTCCTAACCAGTGGTTTGTCTCTTAAGTTCACCACTGAATTTCTCAGGCCTAGACCAATGTCTGGCATATTGTAGAGATGAATAAATATTTGCTGAGTGAATAAATTGTAACTCAGATGCAATGCAGACCCAACATTTAGAAAACAAATGTAGATTTCTGGTTTTCTGAATTCTTAAGGGGGCCTCTTTCCTTCACTCAACAAATACTTAACAAATACCTACCAGGCCCCAGGCACTTCTGGGCTCCTTTCTACATGAACCTTACAGTCCAGCGAGGGAGAAGTCACAAACATACTGACACACCACCTGCACTCTGAGAGAAGGACCCAGGGGCGCGCGACTCTATGATGACACAGGACGGAGAGGGAGTGACCTAGTCCAGGGGACGAAGGAAGAAAGGTTCCTGAAGAGCGGCCCGTGGCCTAAGGGGTGGGGAATTCTCTGGCAGAGCACACAGTCTGTGCAAAGGCTCTGAGGCTGGAGGGCGCCTGCCAAGCTGAAGGGACGAGACAAAAAAAGATCAATGTGGCTGAACCATAGGCATCCCTGGGGGTGGGGGCGGGTGGGCAGCAAGAGGAGTTGAGGCTGGAAAGAGAGGCTGGGTGCAGCTCTGGCCTGTGGGCGCAGGCGCTAAGGTGTTCGACCTCTATCCAGGGAGCAGTGGGAAGCCATTAGCTTAAATGGCTTTATTACACCATTCTGCTTCAGTTCCCTGGGCTGAAAGAAAATGGTAACATCAACCTTGTGAAGTAACCTGGGAATGACTCAATTTAAATCAAGCAGTATTTATTCAGTGCTTTTACACGCAATGAACTGGAAGGAACACAGATTTACCAAACACATTTCTACACTACAGTCTAATGAGGGTGAGGAGGAAGTCTGTTCAAGGCCAAGCAGGCAAAGCACGGTGAGCGGGGTGCAGAGCACTATGGGCGCTTAGGGAGCAGTTGGGAAGCAAGAGGCCCTTCTGAGCTGGACCTGTCTAGAAGAAAAGTAGATCAACAGCTAGAGATGGGGCGGCTGTAGGAGGTTTCCAGTGTGGGATTTCTTTTTCTTTTTTAAAGCAGAGAGGATAATACGGTAGAGAAAGCTCAAGAAGTTGAGGTTTCTTTACCAAGGGCTCTGAGCGCCAAGCGCACGCGTAGCAGAACCTAGTTGAGCAGACACAGCGGAAGACCCTGAGGACCTGCGGTGAGGGCTGCAAGGTCTCATCCGCTCTGGGACGATCACACTGGCAGGGAGGAAGGACGAAGGACGTGGAGAACCCCTGGGGAGCGCCTGGATGCGGGCTACTGCCGGAACCCAGGCAGGTGGCAAAGAGGGCTGCCCACCCGCGGCCGTTAGGGTGGGAAGCAGGTCGCAAGAGACCGAATGGGGGCCGAGGAACAGGAACGTTTGCCAGTTTGAGGCCGGGAGGCTGCACGTGCTACTGCAACGTGCCAATGGGGCCAGAGAAGGTAGTGGTTACAAGAGCTGGATTTTGAAGACAATTTGAAAAGGCTCTCTGACGGAGAAATTTGGCTGGAAGTTAAAAATGGACATTTGACGTCTCAGAGGCTTAACATGGAGCTCTGTGAGCCAACGACGTGGAGGTGAGATGCAAAGACGATGTACGCTTTCCTGAGCATAAAATGAAGGAATTCCCTGGCCGCGCAGCTCAGTTGGTTAGAGCGTCCTCCAGATACATCAAGGTTGTGGGTTCAATCTCTGGTCAGGGCATACACAAGAAGCAACCAATAAATGCATCAATAAGTGGAAAAACAAACCGACGCTTGTCTCTCTCCCTCTAAAACCAATAAAAAAAATTAAAAATGCAAAAATTCCTTGCATAAAAGTTCTCCTCCAAAGCCATTCCTTAAACTGGAATTCTTTAAAATGAGCCAGCGGTCCGCGTCACACCTGGGCTCATTTTTTACACCTTCATCTGCAGGTAAGAACCCCAGCCAGGACCAGGGCTGCGGCGGCAGCAGCCGGGTGCCCCGCCAGTCCCTGCTGGCACTCACCGGTGCCCAGGGGTTCCACACCACGTGACCAGCCTCTCTTTATTTCACACATAAACCATCTTCTGGATGCAAAATTAAGTGACTCATCAGCACCAAGGAACTAAGGCCAACCAACTCACAGAAAGAAGGTTCATCCTGACCCTCCCGGGGCTGCCCCCTTCAGCGTGCCAACCGCCCAGGGAAGCCTCGCTCCCCTCGTCTTTACCCAAGTGTTCAGATCA